GTGCAGCTCACTGAGCAGTTCACTTTGCCTATAGTCCCAGGACAGTTCCACTGCGCCCAGGTAGTATCTTCGGATGGCGCTGAAGCTTAGTGGCAAGAGGCACAGAAAGAAGCAGGTGGGTAGCTCTATTTGCATGGCTCTTATTGTAAGAAAACGTTCAACTGGAGAAATGCAAGATTAATTCTTCTTTAAAATATCTTTGGCTCCCAGGGGAAAAAAAAAGGAAATTTTTTTATGATTTGGTGAAAAGTCCCAAAATTTTCGCAAAGAATTTTAGGAAACCTTACTGGTTGGATGTGACAGCAGCATTAGCCCTGAGCTCTAGGCGACAGGACTGCTTCCTTTCTGGCAGTAAGAAGTAGCCACAGGAAGAAGTGAGTAGAAAAAGGGAGGCTGAGCTAAAGCTTAACCCGTTCCCCTCTGAAAGCAGCAGGGGCGCAGGGCTGCTGCTTCCACCAGAAGCTTCAAGGAAAGGAAGGGGGAGTCAAGGTGAAGTGGAGCTCTAATTTGTATCTGCATTCCTAGTGTGCCCCAACCCCCTTCCTTTCTGGCCGCAGCAAGAAATGCTCTAAATGTTGTTTAAGATGCTGGAATCCACTTGCCCTCCCTGCTTCTATCCTTTCCTCTCACAGACACCACTGAATGACTGTTTAAAACCATAAAGTGGATCCTGTCACTTCTTTGCTCAGGACCCTACACTGGCTTCTGATGTCACTCAGAGTAGAATCCTGCATTTTTACCATGACCAAGAGTATTCCCCACAATCTGCATGTCCCTTCTCCCTATCTCCAAGGTCTCATCTCACTCTGGCTACGTTTCCCTGATCTCCACACATTTACACTCCCACATCTCCTTCAAGTCTTGGCTCAAATCTTGCCTTCTCAGTGGGCTCAAATATGGACCTTGGAAGCTTTCTGCCCACACTGGCTCTACTGATCTCTCTCTGCTTCATTTTTCTACATGGCACTCATAATCACCCAGCATTCAGGTATTTACTCATCTTGCATTGAGGCTTCTTGAGGTTGTTTTACATTTGGCCCTGGCTGAGGCTATTATCTACTTACATCAAAATGTAGCTTTGCTGAGCTGAAGCAAAGCCCCTACTCAGTTTGATGTATATTAGGAGTCGTGAGAATCTCCCCAAGGACCTCAAAGTATAGGTTCTGATAAGAATAGTGACCAAGGTTTCTATAAGAAATGTTATTAATGAGAGTCCAATTCTGCACAGAGAACGTGTTCGGGAGCAATTGGCAAGGTGTTGTCCAGCTTGGAAACAATCAGGAAGAAGCCTTGTTGTGTAAACATTTGCTGAGACCTTCTCTCTGCCAGGCACCAGTTTGCAGAGAGCTGGCAGGTTATGTATTTCAGGAACTGTTCTAAGTGCTTTCTAATGTGGCTAGTGTTTTTGTCTGCATTGTACAGGTGATGACATTGAAGCCCAGAGAAGTTAGGCAAGTTGGCCATGGTCTCACAGTTTGTAAGTTGTAGCATTCAGATCCATTTAATCTGGCTCCAGAAGTCATGCTCTGAACCGTTATGCTATATCTCCAGGCTTCAGACATGAATTAAATCCAGTTTCTGCCTTTTGGAAGTCACAGTACAGTCGGGGAGACAGTTACAATATAGAGTGATAATTCTCTGCCAGATGCTTTACACATGATCGGATTTAAGGCTCAGAATGAGACTGCAAAGTGAGTAGAGATGAACCACGTGAGGGTCAGAGGTTAAATGGTTTGCCCAAGAGCAGACAACTACTTATTTGTCCTAGGGAGACAGTCCTAGGCACAGTGTGCACAGGAGCGCGCGATAGAAACAACTGACAGACAATAATCAATACTTACAATGTATGTGTACCTTATGTCTGTTAGAAGGTAAAGTAAGTGCTGTGCACAAAAGGAAAGTAAGCAGGACGGGAAGGAGGGGTTTTGCAGTTTTCAGTCATGGAAAGTCTCACTGAGAAGGTTACATTTCGGCAAAGGGACTTTGGTTTCTACATTGAGGGTTATAGGGAGCCACGGTAGAGTTCTGAGTAGCGGAGGGCCATGAGCTTTCTGGCAACAGTGGAAAGAATAGACATTAGCAGCACAAGGGCAGGAGCAATAGACTTGTTAACGGGGGAGGGGGGCAAGAAATGACCGTGACTTGGGCTAGGATCTTAGCAGTGGAGGAGTGAGAATGGTTGAATTCACTGTGAAGGTAGCGTTTACAGTGCTGGGTGATGAATTGGATTTGTGGATTTGAGAGAGGAGTTCAGATTAACAGCAAGGTTTTGGGAAAGGTGTAGTTGCCTTGAACTGGGATGGAGTGACTAGAGGAGTGGCTTAGGGGTGGGGGCGGAGAGGTGCTCTGGCACGTGGTTAAAAGGTTCCGTAGGCATCGTACGCAAGAAAGCTCTTTTCTTTCTGAGCGCTCCTCTTGGTTATAGCGGTAGCTGTTTTTTAAATGTGTCTTCCCCCAGTGGAACAGCATCGGGCACGTAGCAGGCCCTGATAAATATTTGGTCAATGCTTCATGAACGGAGACGACAAGCCAGCTTTCTGGATTTTTACTAAAGTGAGGGGTAGAACAGTCTTGACTCGGGAAAGGCCGCGCTGCGGTCCCGTACAACTAAATCCCTT